CCTGCTACTACTAATGTACCACTGGTAAATATGCTAATGTTGACCTGCTACTACTAATGTACCACTGGGAAGTGTGCTAATATTGACCTGCTACTACTAATGTACCACTGGGAAGTGTGCTAATATTGACCTGCTACTACTAATGTACCACTGGTTGTCAAAGGTTTATTTATCACTTGAGGGGGTCTTTCAGATACTTTTGAAGATCTATTATTTGGTTGTTAAAGGTTTATATATCACCTGAGGGGGTCTTTCAGATACTTTTGAAGATCTATTATTTGGTTGTTAAAGGTTTATTTATCATCTGAGGGGGTCTTTCAGATACTTTTGAAGATCTATTATTTGGTTGTTAGAGGTTTATATGAGTAAATAGCTTATGTTGCACGTATTGTGTATCCGCCTCATTACTACCATAAGTACTACCGTACTTATGGTAATTTGGATACATTATTTCTCCGTAAGTAACCTTCAATAAACTTCACAACTTATGTTATTTAATACCATTAGCAAACTAATGGAGTAATAGTGTACGAAAATATGAAAATGGTTATAAACGCTCTAAGAAAAAATATTTGTTGTTAAACGCATGTTTGCACAGTGGACTACCTGTGCTGTCGCCACCACAGAGATTGAACTCAGAATTAAGGGCATAGTAAGAAAGGATAAAAAAAGTGTCAACTTTCATCCAAACGGCTTTCTTAGTACACGTTTTGCAAAACAGCTTATAACGGTTTTTTTCCAAGTTCGTTTTTTAGTTGATAATTTTTTAACGTTTTCGACATGATTTAGATTGAAACACTTCTGATGAAATTCATCACTTGTTTTTCTGTTTTCCAAATAATAGATCTTCAAAAGTATCTGAAAGACCCCCTCAGGTGATAAATAAACCTTTAACAACCAAATAATAGATCTTCAAAAGTATCTGAAAGACCCCCTCAGGTGATATTAGTGTGTAACTACAACAGACTTCTATTACGAACCTCTATTCCATTAGTGTGTAACTACAACAGACTTCTATTACGAACCTCTATTCCATTAGTGTGTAACTATAACAGACTTCTATCACGGATCTTTATTCCGTCAATGTGTAACTACAACAGACTTCCATTACGAACCTCTATTCCATCAAGAGAGTGAAGGTATGACAATGGAATGATACATATTACTTTTAAGGTTGTTAAATAAAGATAATTAACAAGATAAACTTATTATAGGTCACTAAATATTGTTAACCCTAATCAAAGTGAAATACTAATATAATACCGGATTACCTCGTAGAGGAGACCATCTCCGGATACGGATATAATGCCGTTGAACTTTGAGAGATCAGCAGACTGGATATATCCGAGCATAAATTTACTCTTTTCTGAAGTAAAACAAAATTATAATTTTATTCATTAATCTTTTTTTTTTGTTATAAAAGAAACAAATAAGCAATCTGCTTTCGTTAAAAAATCTTAAATATACAGTTTTCAGTTAAGCTTGGTCTTTAAAATATGCACCATTTATTTCCTCTGTTATTACATAATATTGCAATTTAATGTTTGTGGAGATTTATTTCATAAAACATTTAGCTCTTAAGAAACAGTTTAGTGGTTCTACTAAACCTACAGTTCCAGTTTAGTAGCTACTAGCCGACGATTGATGCAGAGTCTATGCGCAGAGCTACTAGCCGACGATTGATGCAGATTATATGCGCAGAGCTACACAAACGGCTATCTGCGCATTGCTGTCTCTGATTTTGAGCTGATAGACTAGAGGGAAGGCAGCTACAGTCAAAGGTACCCACCGCCGGCTCTTGGGCTTGTGACTAGAGGAACTTGACCGTTGGATCCAAATTGCGGAGTTTTTTGTTGTTGTTTTTTTTTCTTTTACGGCAACATGTTTTGAACCGTGAATCTTCTGTGTGAAAGTCTGATCACGCTAACCACTTGGTCACGCCGACCTTACATACGAGAGGAAACATGACTTTGTTCTGTAAGTAGCTAAACAAAAATACAATGATCTGTTTTAGTTTTGATACGATACTAATAAAAGAAACACATCACGAAGGAATATCATTTTATATTTCTACAAGTGGAAAAAAAATATTTAAAAAATTAAAATGTAGGAATAGGTGTACCAAAAAAGTGAGGACACAAGGTAGGAAAGGGCATGATGTAATAAAAATTTATCTGTACAACTTCACAAGGAGGCGTGTCCAAGCCAGGTGGACTAAATTATCAAACTTAGTCATGCTTATCATAAAATGACTAGAGGTTTCTGCGAATCGAATTATTGGAGGCAATACGTGTACTGTAAAGTCTGTTTATACGACATCAGAAGAATCAGACATTCGTGTGGACCCATAATTTGTTTGTTTTTCTTTGTTCTTGTCCCTTCTTTTACAATTCCATGAGAAGACAACAGGATTTCGTACATTACCTATATAGGTGGACTAAAATACAAAGATAAAAAAATCTTAAGATGTTTCTATGTATCAACGTCATGGATTCGTTACTGTGTATATAAAGGTAGAAGAAACATATACACACTTTTGTATGCACCCATAAGGTATAATGTGATGCACATAAAAAAATTAAGTAAGCATGGACTTACTTATTCAGTATATCTGAGTGAGCGAGCGGACGTATGTATTTTAAAATGGCGTCTCTGTTCAAGGTATCACCTGATGCACGTCAAATAGCTCTTCTTTGTGGGGGGTGTTTAATATCGAAACACTCTAGCACTAGCACGTGCTATTGTTCTATTTCGCGCACTTATAACTATGATAAGTCTGTTTGTTACACAGCAAGAAGAGTTCAACCATGTCAATCAGTCAGTGAGATTGAGAAATTTGTGGTTTTGGGAATTCTTTGTATCTGCTCTGCTGACTTTCTCGAGTGGTTCTATGATTTGTAATTTTGTATGTGGTTTATTTTAACAGACTTCTATCACGGACCTTTATTCCGTCAATGTGTAACTACAACATAATTTCATTACGGATCATTATTCCGTCAGTGTGTAACTACAACAGACCTCTATTACGAACCTCTATTCCGTTAGTGTGTAACTATAACATACTTTCATTACGGATCTTTATTCCGTCAATGTGTAACTACAACAGACCTCTATTACGAACCTCTATTCCATTAGTGTGTAACTACAACATACTTCCATTACGAACCTCTATTCCATTAGTGTGTAACTATAACAGACTTCTTAGTTACACACTAACGGAATAGAGGTTCGTAATGGAAGTCTGTTGTAGTTACACACTAACGGAATAGAGGTTCGTAATGTGTTGGTTTAGTTTCATCCTGCATGCCAATAATCTGATCAGAGCTTAACAGATCACACAAAACTTTCAGAATCTACCCTGTGTAAGTACAACACACTTACAATTCGGATCTTTATTTCGTCAATGTGTAACTACAACAGACTTCTATTACGAACCTCTATTCCATTAGTGTGTAACTATAACAGACTTCGATCACTGATCTTTATTCCGTCAATGTGTAACTATAACAGACTTCTATCACGGATCTTTATTCCGTCAATGTGTAACTACAACAGACTTCTATTACGAACCTCTATTCCATTAGTGTGTAACTATAACAGATATAGAATATGTCCTACCGTGTGTGCTGACATATATAGAATATGTCCTGTATACAATAACTTTCTCATACTGTTATTGAAGAGTTTTAACTTATAATTTCCCGTGTGTGCTGACATATATAGAATATGTCCTACCGTGTGTGCTGACATATACAGAATATGTCCTACCGTGTGTGCTGACACATATATAGAATATGTCCTACCGTGTGTGCTGACATATATAGAATATGTCTTGCCGTGTGTGCTGACATATATAGAATATGTCCTAGTGTCAGCACACACGGCAGGACATGTTCTATATATGTCAGCACACACGGCAGGACATGTTCTATATATGTCAGCACACACGGTAGGACATGTTCTATATGTGTCAGCACACACGGCAAAGAATGGAATAATGACATAAAAAGTATTTTTTTGTTTTCATTTGACAACGTGTAGCAAGAAAATTTACTCCTTAATACTGTTCATAAACTGAGTTGATAAGGTAAAGGAGTCGAGTATGGCCTAGGGGTAAGTGTGTTTGGGCAGTGCATTTAGGAGGTCATGATTCGCCTATCGTTCCTGCAAAAGACTCGCTCCTCACTTTGGGGCCGTGGGTACGCTACAAGAGTGGTGGTCAAACCCTCAATATTCGTTCAGAGAAGATCGACCCAAGAGTTCCAGGTGGATTTTGTTTGCTAGCTTCCTTGTCTCTAGTGTATCAGTTCATAATTAGGGTTAGTTATGCGCAGATAGTGCTAGTTTAGCTTTGAATGATAATTCTAGACAAAGAGAAAGGTAAAAATTACAGTAAAGTCAGAGAGTGGGAATTAATGTATATATCGTACCTACAGTGTGGTAAAACCACCCAAAATGTGAGGCCAGTAAAATGTATTTATTCATCCCGAAAACTTTAAAAGTTTAGCGAGAAAAACACAAACTGGAAGTCTATTTTTTCTTTGATTCGCCGACACCCATCACTGAATCAAACCAGTTTTGGGAAACTCAGCTTCTCACCAATAACCCTACACACAAACAAATAGAAAATGAAAATAGAGATGATTGAAGATAACTCAAATACCTTGCCAGTAACATATACGAAATGTTTTGAGGTCATGCTGTTTCCCATGTTATATAGGGTCATGTAACACAAGGATATGTCTTGTCCTGGTAGGGTCATGTAACACAAGGATATGTCTTGTCCTGGTAGGGTCATGTAACACAAGGATATGTCTTGTCCTAGTAGGGTCATGTAACACAAGGATATGTCTTGTCCTGGTAGGGTCATGTAACACAAGGATATGTCTTGTCCTGGTAGGGTCATGTAACACAAGGATATGTCTTGTCGTTAGAAAGTTTTCCAAGTATTGAAAAAACCTCATTAGGCTTAGCACTAAACTTTAAGGTCTTACATTATCCAAACTACACTGTAATAGTATCAATCAAATTATCCAGTCTGTAATATTAATCATGGCTTGGTGGTTAGGATGCCCTTTCAACCGTGGGTTCGTTATAATTCATCAGTCAATCCCACTTTTCGTTCGTAAAAGAGTAGCCCAAGAGTTGGCAGTGGGTGGTGTTAATTAGCTTCCTTCCTTCTAATCAAACACTTGTGTATTAGGGACGGCTCAGCACAGATAGCCCTCGTGAAGCTGTATGTGAAATTCAAAAGAAACAAAACCTTTGTTATAGGCTTAGCAAAATTCAACAAAGAAACATGTATCAATCAACATAAACAAATTACCTAAAATGATGAAATAACATCAGATAAGATAAAAAAGAAGCTAGAACATCTTTAAAACTAACCAACAAGCGATTTCTATAGTATCTTTATCGGAATCTGTGTTACCTAACTGTATTAAAGACTTTTATCTACATGCATCAGTAAGAACTGGAACCTGTTTTTGAAAAAAAAAAAAAAA